ACCGTTCCCTGGAGAAGGATGTCATGCTTGGTAGGGTGGAGGGTCGACGAAAGAGGGGGAGGCCTTCAACAAGATGGATTGATGTGGTGTCTGCAATGATGAGCTCAAGTATAGCAGGGATTGTGGGGCTGGCGCGGGATAGGGCAGTGTTTCATTCTGCTGTGCATGGGGTCGCTGTGAGTCGGAAACGACTCGACGGCACTTAACAACAACAACAACAACATATACCTCCTACCCTTATGGGGTTGGGGTGGGATGGAGCTTTCAGCTCCAAGAAGTTAGATACATAGAAACAGATGCATGAGGAGCCTCAAGCTGTTCCAGCCCCCAGCTGTGTGGGTCCTCCCAGATCAGGTGCCAGACATGTGAGGCCTTCAAATGATTTCAGCCCCCAGCCTTCCTGCTGCCCAAAATAAAACCAAATTCACTGCCATTGAGTCAATTCTGCCTCATAGCGATCCTTGTTCCATTTCCCAGGCTGACAAATCTTTACAGAAGCAGACTGCCTCAACTTTCTTTCACAGAGCAATTGGTAAGTTTGAACCAATGATCTTTTGGTTAGTAGCCAAACACCCTTTCCGCTGCCCCAGTTGATGCTAAATGGAGCAGATTTTCAAGGCTGCCTTATTCTCTTCCTTTTCATCATTTCATAAGCAGCATGAACATTTCCCTTATGCCATCCCTCATATCTTATCTACATATGGCTTCTAGGAGAATTCTGTTAACACCTAACTCGCTTGCTATATAAGGGGGAGCTAATGAAATAAAGATATTCTTTTTTTTCCTCTGTCAACAAGGGCAAGAATTTGAAATTACCTCATTAGGAACTCATGAACATTATATCCATTGTCTTACCATGACAGAAACCTGGCTCTCTACTTTGTTCCTAACTACTTAGTTCCTACATCTCAACTTCATCTGCCACAAAGCTGAGAGTGATGTCTGCAATTGTGTTCCATTCTATTATCACTTAAAAGACTTAACCTTTCCACCTTAGAACATTGTGGAACAAAACTAAGAATCATTAAAAAGAAACCAGAGACCAGGTTTGTTGGTCTGATAGGAGCCTGGTGGAACCCCTGAGACTATGGCCCCTAGCTGTCCTACAGGTCTGGAATTGAACCCACTCCTGTGCCTTCCAGTCAAACAAAAGACAAGCATACGAGCTGAACATTTACATTAGGTAGACACACTCCTTGGAGAGATAAATCATGGGAGAACAGAAGGGCTGTGAATGCACAGGAAGACAGCTGGGGGGCGGGCAAGAGTCCGTGGGAGGGAAGGACACAGGGAAGAGTTGGCTATGGAGAGGAAGTGGGAGGAGAGCTGCTGCATTGTGGGAGATTGCAGTCAGTCACGAGACAAAGCATATATGAACTGCGTATGGAAGATGAATTTGCTCTGTAAACTTTCACTCAAATCACACTAAAATTTAAAAACAAAACCTTTCCACCCTCAAAAGACCATTAATTTTAGGTTCACAATATGTTATGAGTTGAATTGTTACCCTTCCCTCAAAGAAAAGTTGAAGTCCTAATCCCTAAAACTTGTGAATGTGATCTTATTTGGAAATAAGATTTTTGAAGATGTAATTCATACTGGAATAAAGTGGGCTCTAATCTGGTGTCATTATAAGAGACACAGACAGAGGGAAGATAGCCATGTGGAGATGGAAGCAGGGATTGGAGTTATGCTGCCACAAACCAAAGAACACTTCGGGCTACCAGAAGCTAGGAGAAAAGATCTTCCCCTAGAGCCTTCAGAGTGTGTGGCCCTGCCGACACCCTAAAGTCTAGCCTCCAGAACTGTGAGACAGCATATTTCTTCTGTTGCTTGCCACACTTTGTGACAATTTGTTACAACAGTTCTAGTGGTTCTCAACCAGGGGCAATTTTGCGCATCCCACACACCAGGGCATTTTCAGTATCTGGAGACATTTTTGTCAAAAGGGGTGGAGGGCATTGCTGGTACCTAGTGGGTAGAGACCAGAGATACTGCTAAATATCTTACATGCAGAACAACTCCCCCACCTACCCATAACAAAGAACTATGCAGCCCAAAATGTCAGTATTGCTGAGGTTGAAGAAGACTGAACTGGATTATTACCATCTCTTCTCCTTGTAATGCTAATAGCTTTTCCACTGTCACCTCTCATGTCCAATGAACTTTTCCTCCTATTTTACCAATTCATTCCTAAACTGCATACCACATGAACTTTGAGATTGCTAAGAGCTAATCTACTGCTCATATCTTAACATGTACCTTCCTCTCCATGACTGATCTTCCCCAGACCTTTTCTCTCTTGTTTCCTCTATACTTTTTCTTTGACTCTGTTCAGACCTCTGGTTCCCCAAATGCACCCTTTCCACAATCACATATGTGGGGTGAAGGATCTATATTTACCTCAATAAGGTAGCCTCTTCCTTGGCTCCAGAGCAATAACCCTGGTGTAATCGGGGTGCCTTAGTTTGGGACTTTCAGGCCACACCTGAGAATCTGTGTTGGGAAGTGGGGGCTGGCCAAACCAAATACAGGGAGCCTTAGGAGGCATCATTTAGCTTATTATGCAGAATTGGTTAAGTCTTCTCATGGAGGTTCAGAGTACTTCTTAGTTGATGAGAATTATCAGCTCTTGGAAGGGTAAAGCATTCCTTGGAACATAGAAGCTCCACATGGGAAACCCTCCCAGACCTCACCCTATGTGTCTGTTTGTATCCCTTTTGGTTGTAATAAATCTGTAGTTGTAAATATTGTATACTCTCTCTGAGGTCTGCAAGTCCTTTCCAAAGAATTATGGAGCCCAGAGTAGGAGGAACCAGCTGGTCAGAAAGGGTGGACTCCTAAGCTCGATGCTAACATCCTGAAGAGGCAGTGGGAAACCAGCCCCAAATTTGTGGCCAGCAGGTCAGAAGGTTGGGGTATTGTGTAGACTCCCAAACATGATGTTGGCATCTGCCTATTTGGCAGTCTGAAAGATGGTGTCCTTTTAATTTGTGGGTTCAGATCTAGCTCCAGGTGGCTAGGATCAGAAAGAGAGGAATGGAGAAGTGGGAATGAGAGGACTGTATCACTCTCCATATTTGGGGGATTGGATTCATGCTAATTCTTACAGCACAGGTCTGTTGGACTTCAAAACTCATGCAGTGGATCATATTCTTGGAGAGTTAGTTTGGAACAAATGACATTAGAGACATGATAGCTTGTTCTTAGCATCTACAAGAACAGTTAGACCTATGGCAGTAGATGCTAGAACTAGGACCATTTAGAAATTTTCCCTCAGTTAAGGTAGGGAGAGAAAAAAAAAAAAAAAACAACTCAAAACACTCTAAGTCACTCACCCACACATCAAACTGTTTGTCTCTTGAGTTATATTTCACTGAGGTATTTCAAGCTATTGAATATGACCAAATGAACCATGCAACAGAGATACAGAGGTGACAGTACATGCCAGATTGATGTTTATTTCAAAATGGCATATTTTGGGTCATTCATGTAAAATATAAAAAAATTAAAGAATGTAAGCTATTGTGTTCTTAAAATGAAAAAGATTAGGTAAATTTTTAGATAAGTGGATGATGGTCTTTTTTTTAAAAGGAGATACACCATTAAGCAGTTATTTGAATGTCAAAAACCTCAAGTCAAATCTTACTAAAATATTATTTCAATGGCATAGTTTAAATGAATTCATTGTAATTTAATTGCATTTCATAAAATATTTGTTGAAATAAATGTCATTGGCACATCATGATACATATATTTTATTGTATACAAACTAAGTGCACTGTTAATAAAAGTCCTACTCTCTAGAACATGAGAAGACAATAAATAGAACAGAGATATTTGTTTTTACACAAATGGAATGAATGAATATAACTAGACATTGTTACCCTCAACCATATTCATATTATCATATACATAGTTCTAAAACTAACCTTTTACAATAAAAAAAGCACTTTTCTGAAACTGTGGAGTTGAGTCAGTAGATAAAGTACACTATGTAAGTATTACTTCAGGGCTATATAGAATAATTTCATTGGTGGTATTCATGTGTGGGAAGAAAAGAGCTATTGTATATAATCGTCCTATTTAAGAGGACATGACTTAACCTGAATTCAAGGTCTTTTTAGCATGTGGAAGACAGTATTAAAGAAGTATTATTTTAGAAATGCTACATAAACTAGAAAGACCTTTACTAAATAGTATATATTTCTTCCCTAACTTCATTCTACTAGCATATAAACTATATCAAATGAAGCTATAAAAGTTAAGATTTTAACATTTTAGATAGTCAAGTTACAAAAGGAACTCAAAAAAGGAACTTAAACTAGATTTAAGTTTCTGGTATTCACAAGGTTTGGCACCTTGTCTTTCTTACCACAAAATACCTATCTTGTGAAGAACAACAGGCAGTCCAAGGGGTTCAGAGAACACAGCAGTCTAGGTATGAGAATCTGGTGAAAAAGACTTAGCTCATATTTTAACATATTACATAATATAATTGTTGACATTCGTACTGGTCTAGAATCATCAAGAAAAGATTAAAAAAGCCAATATTCTATTGATGGGCAGGGAAGTATGTCATAAATTTTAAAAATATGTCTATGCCAAACTCTTAAGTTTTATCTAGAGCATTTCATTTTCTAACAATGCAGCATTACTGTAGTTACATGTAATGTCTTAGTGTTTCTGTAATTTAGGACTCCTTAAAAGTAAAGTGAGTAAGTTAACATTATGATGATGCTCAAGAACATAGTGAACTAGGTAACAAACTTTACGCTTCAAGAAAAACCCGGTCTCTGTTGAGATTGACAAAGAGGACTGGGATTCTGATGCATGAAAGGCAACTCCTGCTATACTATGAAAACTGGTAAAGGAGCTCACTGCCAGGAACACTTAGAATACTCAGGTACTTGGCCAATCCCAGACCTAAGAGAAATGCAAAGCAACAAAAAAGAAAACAAAAATACTGCAGGAATAAAAACCCCATTCTTATCACAGCTTTATTTCTCTTCTATTGTTTCGATTTCTGAGTACATCCGGCACAGTGCTGCATTAGGACGGCACACAAAAGCATCAGTTTCACTTCCCAACTCTGTTAACTGTTCTAATGAAGACACACAAGGATAATGGTCTTTTAACATATCCGGCAATTTAGAAGTCTTATCTTGAAGTCGCCTGGAACGTCTCACTGGTGTTAGAAACTTGAGCTCTTTAAATACAGAATTTGTTTCGTCAAACTGAATTTTCTTTTTGGCACTGGGGGGAAAAAAAAAAACAACACAAAATTACTCCCAAAGTTTAAAAACGTGTCTTAACACTTTTGTTTTTGTACCTTTATGCTATTTAGTGCCTAAGGCACTTGACTGCTAACCAGGAGGCTGGCGGTTCAAACCCACCAGCCACTCCTCGGAAGGAAGGTTGGGCAATCCTACTTCCGTAGTGATAACTGCCTCGGAAACTGAAGGAGGGGTCCCTAGGAGTCAGGGATGACTCGATGGAAAATAACAACAACATAACAACATACTTTGTATGTTACAACCATTTGATTACTTCTCTTATTGAATGGGAGAGGTACTGCAAGATCCTAGAAGAGTTAAGAAGGGACTTACTCTTTTCTCTATTTGATGTTACAACTCCTTCACAACAGTAATCTAAGTACCTGTAGATTACTAATTGTTCAATCCAAACCTACTGATATTAGCAATATACAACAAGAGGTTAAAGTAAAATGATACAGAAGTTTGGTTTTTTTCTCCCAAAATGGCACTGCTTAGAGAATAGCAAAGTAAGTACAGTATTTAAAAGGTGAAATGTCCCTAGTTCGTTTCAGTTGTTTGAAAACTTTTCTATCATCAAATGGTAGCTCAAATCTGCAGTTAACTTAAAGTAATTAAATACCACATTTATTACCTTTGCAAGTATGGTGTAGTAGATACATTATATTTAATCAAACAACTCTCCCTGGTTTCTTTATCAGGAGTTTTGACATCATTAACTGGATCTTTTGTTTTGTCTTCTTGCTGTTTTTCACGATCATGAAATGTCACACTTCTATAATGTTTATTTTCCATTTTCACTTTTCCTGACTCTAGATTGACACGTGTGTCTTCAGCATTCACTTCTTGGACTTGCTCCTTGGTTGTACAAATATCCTCCATATTTTTTCCTATACAGAATACATTTATATTTAGGTTTTGGCTGAATTTATTTTAATGTATCTTGAACTGAAAACCTCACAATCACTCTTTAAAATGTCTTTTTATTTACTTTTGTTGCTGTTGAGAATATCACAGCAAAACACACACCAATTCTACAATTTCTATATCTGTAATTCAGTGACACTGATTACATTCTTCAAGTTATGCAACCATTCTCACCTTCTTTTTCCAAAAATTATAAATGAGATAAATGCTGCAACTGAGGTAAGAAAAAAGGGCTATGGGAATCATAAAAATGAATTACTACTTTGCTTGCAGGGAAAGCGGATAGCTAGGGAAGGTTTCACAAGTGATATTTATGCTAGGTCTTGAAAAATGAGTACTTGAGAAAAGCAAGAACAGTGTTGCTATGAAGCATAAAAAGAAATGATCTATTAAGAGAACACTAAAGGGCCAGTGTACTCAGAACAAAGAATAAAGAGTAAGGTAGGATCCTGGGGAGGTAGGCAGGTGCTGGGTTGTAATGAACTTTGTATTTCTTTATGCAAGGAGTTTGATTTAAAGAGAAAAAAATGACTGGAGAAATCTCAAGGAGATACCCCTTTACACCGACAAGGAATGGCCATTACCAAATGAAAAATAACAAGTGTTGACAAGGATATAGAGAAATTGGAACCCTTCCACATTGTTGGGAGGTGCTCTGGTGGTTTAAGGGTTAAGACATTTGGCTGCTAACCAAAGGGTCAGTAGTTTGAACCCACCACCCACTGTTTGGAAGACAGATGAGGCAGTCTGTTCCTGTAAAGATTTACAGTCTTAGAAAGCCAATGGGGGTGACTATGAGTTGGAGTCGACTCAATGGCAGTGAGTTTGGTTTGTTTTTTTTGGTACATTGTTGGTAGGAACGTAAATAAAACGATGCTGTTCCTCTGGAAAAGCCTGGCAATTCCTTAAAAAGCTAAACACTGAATTAGCATGTGACCCAGCAATTTCACTCCTAATATATACCCAAAAGACTTGACAACATGGACTGAAACAAATACCTGTACCCCAATGTTCACTGCACCACTATTGACAATAGCCAAAAGGATGAATGGACATACAACGGGATACTATTAACCCATAAAGTGAAATAAAGTTCTGATACATGCTACTAAATGGATGACCCTTAAAAAAACATTACGTTAAGGAGGTGGGGCAAGATGGCAGACTAGGCAGAAGGATTGCACAGACCCTCTTCAACAAAGAAAAGGGAAACCAATTAACACAGACACAGAA